AACCTGTAGAATATTTTCAATCATTTAAAAATAATGATATTTATGGTGTTTTGCCATTTGTAGCACCTGAAGTTTTAAGAGGTCAACCTTATACTTTATCTAGTGATATTTATAGCTTTTCTATGATTCTGTGGGAATTTATATCTGGAGTTTTTCCATTTGATAATAAAGCTCATGATTTTCAACTTAGTTTAGATATGTAAAGGTAAACGTCCTAAAGTCATTAAAAATATTCCACAATGTTATATAAATTTAATGAAAAAATGTTGGGATATAAATCCATTAAAAAGACCAACTGCATTAGAAATTAAAAGGCTTATTGAAAATTGGATACAAAATATTATTACTAATAATTTTGATCAAAAATTAAAAAAGGATATTATAATGTTTTATAAAGCAGATAAAATATTAGATCAAAAGCAAAATATTATTAATAGTAATAAAAATATTGCTGAATCTCATCCAAAAGCATATCATACAAGTCATTTACTTGATTTTACTGAAAATTTAAATAAAATTTTAAATCAGAATGATACTATAGAAATTAATCAAGATTTTGGTAATTATATTAATCTCTATAAATTTAAAGATTTTTAAATAATTTTAATTTTTTATACTAATATTTATTTTATATTATAGAGAAGTTAAATATTACAGATAATTAATAGTATTTTATTTAATATATATAATAATATTTAACCAATTTTAATATTTAAAAAAAGATTAAAAAATACTTATTATATTTAATTTTATATTAAAATTTATTTATTCTTAAATTTTAATTCTATAAATATTTATTTAATGAACACTGCTATATATAAAATATATAAAGTAAATTTTATATTACAAATAGTAGTTTGTAATTATTAAATAAACAAATTATTTTTTAATATTATAATAAATATTTAAAATTTTATTAAATCTTTTATTTTGTTATAAAATGGATTTTGAGACTAATAAATTGAATTTGAGTGATTGATAATTAAAAAATAATTAATTTTTTTATTAATAAAGAATTGTACTAAAAATATAAAAAAAATGCATCCATAGCTCAATAGTTAAATTATGAGTTTTTTTATAAGATAAAATTTTATTATATAATAATAGTCTATTATTCAGTTATCGGTCAATACTTAAAACTATATGATTTTCATAAGAATTTTTTTATAACTAAACTTATGTGAGCATATGTATTGACATATAAATCTGGTTAATTAATCTATCGATCAATATAAATGATGTCTAAATACTGCAAGTGTTAGAATATGTAAAAGTAAATAAAGTTAGGAATTAATAAATCTCTTTACTGATTATTCTATTATCATTTACGTTTCATACTTTAAAAGCTCTTACACAAGTAAAAAATGATTAATCAAAAATTTAATAAATTAGATCAACAGTAATAATAGATTATATTATATGTTACAGTTAAAGATGGTACAGCAATTGATTTCAAATTTACAAAATATTGCAACATAAGCTAAAATTAGTTGCAACATATATAGGTTAAAACTAATTGCAACGTAAGTTGCAACATTAAAAGTTGTAACATATTAATTACAGTTCCCATCTTTAGTTACAGTACTATTTAATCAATCATATTATTGGATATGAGATTAATTTTGATTTCAAAAATATTTGTCGATATTACCAGATCATTATCTTACTAGTTTAATATTTGGGTAAATCTTATAATAAAAATTTCATAAATCCTATGACATTAGTTGAGTATAAATGATCATATTAAGAATGGATTCAGAATAAATCAGAATTTGCTCAAATAAAATTTGAAAATTATATTTGAAAGTTTATTATAAAAGGATAATAAAGTTATACAAAATCAAATGTATGAAATATGAAAACTTTGTAGTAAAAAGAAAGGAAACTTTAAAAAAATTTTTTTTTAAGTTAATATTAAATCTGAACTTATTTTACTAAAAAATCATAATTAGCTTAGAAAGTAAAATTAAAATTTTTAGTAAGGCAAAAATGGGGTTTCTGGGACAAATTCTAAATAGTACTCAGAAAAGATTCCTAACCGCCTACGAATCAATTCTAGCTATACAAATCCATTATCGAATACAAAGCTCTAACGCAATTTGACTCAAATTTAGATAATAATATCGAACTTGGCTAGAAATTAGCTGTCTGATACTATGAAGTATACTATTTGATATAACCATTCTAGCCTAAATTTAATCCCAAATAATATATCAAAAAAAATTTACTATTTTGTTTGCCTTAGGAGGGCCCATCGAAAATCAAGAAACAAAGTGACGCAATTTGAGCTGGTCCCGATCATGCAAGTCTAAAATGCATATCATATTTTATGATATCCTAAAATTAATTTTAAAGTTGATTCATTATCAGCTAGCAATACTAAACATTTACACCTATGAACGGCATAGGTGTAAATTTTTGAATGTATATAAGAAAGTTTAAAAGCTTTAGATCAAGTTCTAACATGCCAACATTTTTCAATATACAGGAAACCTTTAAGCTCATTTTCATTACAAAAGTTTCCACAAAATCAGGACACCTTAGATGTAAAATTTTAAGCCCTAATTTGTATTCCAATAAGTATCCATAGCTCTATCCTGAAGTCTATTAATATACTGAGTCACATAATAACTACTAGCATATTTTCTACAAAGGCTAGGCTTAAAGCTAGTTGGTATACCACAAACTGAAGTTGGTTATTAAATAAATTATTTTAAACAAAAGTTTTTGTACTAATAATACAAACAACTGAAAGTATATACATATATCAAAAATGATTCCATCATGTCCTCGATGTGAAAAGAATGACTTTAAAAAGTCTCGTGATAGGACAAATCATCTTAAAAGGAAGTTTAAGTATAAGAAATTAAATCCTATTTATAGACCAACACATGTTTCACCTCTTAGACCAAAATCACCTACTCCAATAGACAATACCTGAGAAAAGGATTGAAGAAAGGAGAGACCTAGTGTGAATGAGCGACAAGATGCTCAGGAGAAGCCAAAAGTGATTAACTAAACTCCTGATTCTGAAGCAGGTTCTGGTCCATCAACTCAAGCTCACAGAGAGGGATTAATTGTTAAGAAAGAACATCATGATCCCAAAGAAGCTAGACTTCCAACATTAGCAGAGATAGAAGAAGAAATCGAAAAAATAGGTTGGAAAGAATAGAAAAGCTTCCATTAGCCAAAAGCAAAAATATGAAGCACAAAAGGAGTACACTTTTTAGGCGCATTTTCGGTCAATCTATGAAGAAAAAGATAGGACTTATTCTACAGAAGCATATTCCACAAAAATTGTACAAGAAGAACCGTCTGATGGTAATATAATATTCTTAGAAAGAGAGCGTGATCCTGCCAGATAACACAACTCTCTAAAATGTATGACTGTATGGGGAGGAGTTATTCTATCATGCAAAAATCCTGCCTATGCATTCAATAAAGAACAAGATAATGAAATAGAATATGCAGATACTCCCTATATGCCCCAACTTATTGCAGAAGCACGTGAAGCAATCACAGATGTTCTTAAAGAAGAGCTTCACAAAAGGGATCAAATAAAATCAGCATTAGTCATACATGCTACATATGTATCATATACTTATAAAGGAATAGGTGATATTTCAGATCGGGCAAACTATACTGCCAAATATCATCATCCATATCATAGAAGCTACCAGCATGAAATTCTTTCAGAACAATATATAGATGAGCATATAACCCAATCTGGTGTAGAAATTGATCATAAGATCGAAAGCTATTTGAAAGAAAAATCAGGTAAAATTCTTCTCTGATTAGAAATGATACTTATAAAGTCATATACACTTCGTCGAGCTCTTGGAGGATCTTATATCCCTACATCAAAAAAGCTTGCCAATACAAAATGTACAATCAATCCAGATAATAAAGGTCTCATTGATTCAGAGATGAAAAAGCCTTCTGAAAAATGTCTTCAAGGTGCTTTAGGTTGTTATTTCGCCTATCAGGATGAACATACAGATCATCTTGAATGAATCTTTTGAGCTACAAAATATAAACCATATTTAGATGTGGTCAAGCTCGATGGAATCCCAATGCCTACTCCAATTTGTTCACGAACATTTCAAAAGATTGAGAAGATGAATCCAGATATCTCCATAAATATCTGGAAGTGGAAAGAAGAAATATGTACTCCTAAACCCATTCTTTATAGTAAAAATTATAACAGGCAACATATTATATATCTTTCGGCCCTTACAGATATTACAAAATCTGAGGAAGGTAAGTATAGACAAAAGAATCACTTCCTTTGGATCAAGAATCTGAATGGATTAGTAAATAAGGATACATCTCATAAAGAAAAGAAATATTTATGCAACCGATGCTTTCAAAG